ACAATGCTGCATTCTATCATCATCCTCAAAAGTGATTGATATTTTCTTTGTAACCAGATCTTTCATAAACTTGGCATAACCGGACATTTGTTCTAAAGCTTCTACCAAAGGGACATTGATAGAAACATGCTTCAACATTGTTATAAAAGGCCGATATTTACCATCCTCGGTGTTTTTCCCTAATATTTGAGGAAAGGGGGGGTCTAGGCATGGGAATTACCTTTGTAGGCACTTCAGCATCTTTTCCAGTGTTATCTTCTACTTCACCACTAACCTCTATCATTATCTTTTATCACCTTTTCCTCATTCGACAGCATAGGTGGGTCAATGGTTTGCTTACCACCCCGAGTAGTGATTGCCATACAATGTCCATCATTTTTCAGATTTTTACAGTGTTGCTAAGAAGAGTGCCCGATTGCCGTGTGTTCACAGTCGCAGATAATTGGGCCATTTTCAACTCAAGCTGCTTAATCGATATTGCATGTGTATCGACTTTCTTCCTAATACCCGTTAAATCACTCCTTAATACTTTAATGTGCTCATCATTAGCATCGAACCTCCTCATCACTTTGTGCAACATATCCTCAACTCACGCCATACTATCTCTACCATCCCTAGGAGTAACTTCACGATTTTGAGGAGGGACATAGGGCCCATTCCTATCATTTTTGTTACCATAGTTACCCTTGTTGAAGTTGTTGTCGCGGTTGTAGTTTCCATCTCGGACATAATGACCCTCACAGTTATAGTTACCATAGATCCGACCTTGGTTTCCTTGAACTTGGCTCCAATTCTCCTAATTTGAGCCTTGGGCACTCGGTCAGAAATTCCCCGGCTGCTCATTTACTGCATAGAAATTCTCCACATAATAGCATTCATCATTTGGTTGTGGTGGTTTAGTTATCTTTTCTGCACCCCAGGTGAAATGTTTTAATATCAACCCAAGCTCAGTTCTCATCTGAGCCATCTCTTCACAAATCTCATCTTTGGCTGGGTTGTGAGTGGATTGCAGTGCGAAGGTATTTCTCCCGTATCTGACTACCTAGTACTCCAAGCTTTATTACTCCGAGTGATGTTCTCTAACTTTTTGACAATCTCGGCATAAGGACACTCCCCATAAGAACAACCCGCTATAGTATCCAATACCGCTTTATTATTATCATCCTTTCCCCGATAGAAGTATTCCTTCAGTGACTCATCATTTATGCGGTGATTGGGGACACTTCTCAAAAATGAAGTGAATTTATCCCAAGAACTACTAACTGACTCTACTGGTAGTGCCACAAAGTTGTTCACTCTGTCTTTGTGGTTTAGTTTCTTGGAGACCGGGTAGTAACGTGCTAAGAAAACATCCCTTAGTTGGTTCCAAGTGAAAATTGAGTTATAAGGGAGCTTAGTGAACCAAATAGCAGCCTCTCCCGTCAGTGAGAGAGGAAATACTCTTAGCCTATTACATCCAAATCCAAATCAGGCCTCCCTACACAGCGTTACACACTGCCCTTACCTTAGCTATATGGGCATGTGGGACCTCAGAAGGTAGCCATGAAAACAAACCTCTAGCAATGAGCATTTGCATCAGACTACTAGTTACCACAAAGGTGTGGCCTTGTGGTAGAGGGGGAAAGACAAGTGACCTATCAGAGTCTGCAATATTATCATAACCTTTGTAGTATTCTTGAGGGTGTGGAGCAGGATTTTGTCCCCTTTGTTAATTTTCACCCAGATCATGGGGTAATAACTGACCATGAACATCAACAGGAGCTGGGATGTTCTGGTTCGGATCATCATTGTTAATCCATGTTTCGATTGATATTGCGTAGTGTATGCTCTAATTCGTGATCATAGGGAAACAAGGGTTCTCTTACTCTCCATGCATTTGGCATACAAGGAAGATAGTTTTGCAAGAATCAAAAATAATAAAAAATAAATTAAGAAAATATCGACTAAACTTTAGTAATAAGTTTAAATTAATCTAAAAGCTACTTTCCCCGGCAGCGGCGCCAAAATTTGATACTCTCAAACTTACTTCTCAAATAAGAAGTAAAGCGGTCGTATCAAGTAAAGAACCCAACTAATGAGGTTGGGATCGTTCCCACGAGGAAAATAGTTCATACTTAACTTTAATCTATTATTACTATTATTTAGTCAATTATTTCCTTAGAAAAAAAAAGAATAAAAGAGGGGGGGTTATTTCTAAATGAATGAAAATAACTAACTAAATTAAAGTAAACAACTAACAAATTCAAATCTTGGAGTTTAATCAATTAATAAAAGTAACTAGGGTTTGAGTTTTCCCCAGAGGTTCTTAACTTGATAATTATAACTACAACAATTCTTTCCTATTATCTTGCATTCAAAGTGATAAGTTATGTATTTCTAAATCCTTGGTCCGGCATCTAGAAAATTTCACTCCGCACCTTGGCCCGGCTACGTGTGTTGCTATACTAACCCTTTACCTTTACCTCATATAAAGCATTGTATTCAATATTTGACTAAGTTATTACCTCGTACCAAACGACACTAGTCTATTAGATAGTATACACTAAATCTATGTTAATAATTTTCCTATTATCTACCTCCTTGGTCCGACAAGTAGCATTAAGGCGAGTTCTAACATTGGTCATCCGTTAAAAAGAAATCTAAACGAAAGAATTATCAATACATGCAAGGCACTAATCTGGAATTGTTATTTTAGTTAGATTTTACCTCATTGTTCACTCATGGTTCCTACAACCCTAGTTATGGAGTTTAGTTACCCATAGTCTTAATCACAATATTCATATATTTAATATAAGAATTCATGCACTTACTTTGATGAGAAAGAATGAAATTCAGAATTTCACTTGATTAATCAACAAAATCACCAACAATCAATTCCAGAAAAAATGTAACAATCAAAAAGTCTAATATCAAAGAGTTTACTAACAAAGAGTCTAACAGCAAAAAGTCTAACCCCAAAAAGAAGGTTTTTCGAACTTTTTATAAAAAAAATAAAAACCTAATAAAAGAAGGACTATAATTACTGAAAATTTTTCAAAATGCGGCTGGGTCGACGGACCATCGTGGTCACGACGGGCCGTCATGAACTTCGTCGTCCCATACTTCACAAATTCTTCTGCTGCTCTCTTCATCACCCTCAATAGCAGGTATGACGGACTGGTCCAAGCACGAAGGTCCGTCGAGGGTCTCCGTTCCATAACACTTAAACTTCAAATTGGTTACTGGACTACTCTCTAATCGTTGCGACGAACCAGCAGGACGCACCGTCGTGGCTATGACGGTCCATCATGAACATCCGTAATCCCACACTTGGTCAGACTTCCCCATCTTCCTTCAGCAGCTTCACTATGTTGCCACCTACAGACCGTCGCAAGCTCGACGGACCGTCATAAGCTCCGTAGGTGGTAACTTTTCTGCATTTCTTGCTCAAAAACTTTCGCGTTCATCTTTGGACAGATTTCCTGCAAATAAAGAGAAACTTACATAAAAATCAATACAAAAAGGCTTTTGGACACACACTAAACTTAAGGAATAAGCATTAAAAATACTGTGAAACCACGGTATATCAATTTACCGTATAGCCAGACTTTTATAAGGTAGATGTAGCTTTTAATTTTTTGAGTTATGTAAGCAAGTAATAACCTTTGGTTTTTTATATATACTTGCTAATTATTTTAGTAAATATCCACTTTGGTGAACAATAAATCCTAATTACCAATTATCATCCTATGCAGGTAAAGTTCAACTAATTAAAACAGTAATTTCTGGATTCCATGATTGTTGCACACATCTTTCTTCTACCTAAGAAAGTGATCAAGGATAAAAAAAACCTACACGACCTTCTTATGGACACGGACAATGACAATGTCCAGAAGAGCATTTGTGTCATAGGAAACAATTGCAAACTATATGCTGCAAGTTATTCAATACCATAGAACTAAATAAAGTTATGGCAAAACATAATTAGCAATTGCACGATGTGGCGAGAAAGGATTGTCTATGGATCTAATGGGTATACAATTATTTTATTAAAAGAAGGGAGATTGAAACTGTCCTAATACCTAAATCTGCATCATCATGGATACTGAGGAATATATTGGGGTCTAGAGATGTATTTTGATAGCTAAGTTTGCAAAGGTACAGAGGGGAGGCAAGTTCTCTACTTAAAAGATGTAGATAACCATATTTTCTGAACTCGACTAGAAAAGTATTACCTTGCAACATAGAGTGCACCCTAGGTTCAAGTTTATTATGTGGATGGCTGTCGAAAGAAGTCTAGCAAAAGTAGACATGCCTGAAAAATTGGTATACAAGTGCCACATGCCATTGTGTTTGGTAGTAAAACAGGGGAGACTTTTGATCAGACTTTTATGGTGTAACTGTGCATCTGGTTCGACTTTCATGGGGTTATCAGTGATATTGCAAAAAGAGTGTAGGACGAGTCTATTCGTTTTAGCGGCTAGCAAAAGGCAATCATGTTGCATGCACTTCAAAATCTAATTTTGTATCCCTGGGCATTTTTGCGGTCTAATAAACATAAAATATTCTTTCTTTGTCTATCATAATGAGTAGGAATATGGTTAGACTAGAATGATATATAGCAGTTAGGCCATCACTCCTTTGTTTGAACTAAATAGTTTGGTTATGAATGAAAAATAGCAGTTAGGACATCACTCCTTTGTTTGTACTAAATAATTTGGTTATGAATGAAAAATCCTTGCTGACCAAATTATTCCGTTTACCAAGAAACAAACATCCAACAGTGAAAGAAATGTATCGATGAAAGTAGTATTATCTACCTTAGACCACTTCTTCTATTAATACAAGTTGATCTATACATGTGACTGAACCTTATTATAGAGATAGACTAAAATGAGATAACCATCTTTCGCATTTACAAAATTCAAAAAGGTCAACAAGTTTAGAGATCATTATTCTAAAACTACACAATAGAGATTTAACACAATAGAGATTTAACACGCAACACAAATACTAGGGTGAACATGCAAAAAAGAAACTCAGTTCAGAATATAGGAATACATCCTGATTGAGACAGAGATATACATAATTCTATAAGCATGTAAACTCGTTCATCATGGAAAGTAGTACAACTGAAGACTGCCTACTCTCTAAAATCAACTTATCATAGAAAGACAGACCACTGCATTAGCAAAACCCTTATCAAAGATGAGCACTTGTTAATGACATCACTAAATTCATTGAGAAATACACATCATGGCATAGCTAATGAAAAGTTTCCTAACATAGTGGAGGTGATGGATGCTGATGAACCACAATATTTTCAAGGCGATCATATTTACTCTCTAGAATATCAATACACAATTGCAGTGATTCCTTTTCTTTTTGAGTTGTTTTCAGTTCTTCCAACAACACAGCCTTAGAAGTACTACCTCCTTTCAACTCCTTAGTGGTTATCCCACCACCAAATCTAACTGCATGACTTTTGCATTGAGGTCCAAAGCACTATTCCACTACCTCAATATTAGTAAGAGACGGTTCAGATTATACAAGCTCTTGAATTTCAGCCTATAAAATACAAGAATGTTTAAAATATTTCACTGAATCAATCCAGAGAGAAAATGTTAAATAAAATCTAACGATGAACATATATATTTTTCGTTAGTTTCGGGTTCGACAAGCTCATTTCCAAAGAAATCATAATAAAACCTAGCCGTTGATAATTTCAATTTGTTTCTTTTTGATCAACGCCGGTGGCTATGGCCACCACGATACAAGATTAGTCCTTCCCGGAGACTGGTCAAAGGTTGCTAAAGACAGACATGCAGAAGGAGTTTGCGTCATTATTTAAACAAAACCTAGTAATACTAAATCGCTACCAATGAGACCAATCTCATATTTACATGGAGAACCCAGACTAATATGGGAAGAAGATGAGGTAACACAGATGATTTACAAAGAGAATCTTGAATATGCGGTCATTGGAATGTTTTCGTATGGAATGCCAGAGATCATATAACTAAGATTCATAATCCCTAAACAATGTGAATTGATAAAATTGGACTCTTGGGTAATCAACATGTATTAATGAGAGCGGCAAACATGGAGGTTTATGTAATTTACTATCAAATCTAGCATTTTACCTAACTCATCCCCAATGTTCATACCCGATGAGAACCCTATAGTGGGACGCAATGTTCGACTCAGAGGAAGAAATAACAACAGCTATTGCTTGGATATCCTTTCCATCCCTTCCCCCTAATTTCTTTGTGAAAGAGGCAATTTTTTCTTTGGCTGCTGCAGTAGAGAAGCCTTTGCAAGTTGATATGGAAACAAAGACTCAAACAAGACCTAGTTGTGCAAGGGTAAAGGTTGAGGTTGATCTATTAGAAGATTTTCAAAAAAGGATTACCATTGGAGTTAGGAAGCGCACAAGGGATGTGGTGTAAAAATGGGTTCGGATAAAATATGACTATGTCCCAAAATATTGTGCTTATTGTAGACTGCAAGGACATAATGAGCAAGAATGTTATACTTTACACCCTGAATTTTTTCCTAAGAAGATAGAAGAAACAAAGAAGGAGTTGGGGAGAAACAACATGGTAGAGCAAATAGAATAGTACGCGAAGAGGCAAAAATAAAACTGGGGGAAAATGTGGAAATCGAAGGAAACAAAGAGGACTTACAAGTTCAAAAAAATAAGAAATATTAAATTAAGGGTAGACAACAAGTGTGGAATCTGAAACAACCACAATCACAAAGCGGAGTTGAGGAGAAAATGGAGTTAAAAACAAATCTGAAGCTCTAAAAGAGTCAGAAGACATGGAGGCAGCGGAAATAGAATTAAAGGAGATTCCATCAAAAAGGAGGTGGGTAGAAAATGTTTTCAAAAATCAAATAGGGAAGAAGGACAAGGAGATACATTAGAAGTTAGAACAGAAAAAAGAAGAGTTTGAAAGAGACCAATCAAGAACAAAAAGAAAGGACATCAGGAGAAATGGGGGAGAATTCAACAATAATAGTATGGCAGCCAAGTTATGAAACAAAAAATGCACAAAAGAAAGTTTTACCACATCCAATAAGCATAATTGAGCCAAGTTCACAAGAGAAGAATTTTGAAGACATGAATGAAGTGACCCCAGATCAGAAGAGGAGGTGTCAAGAAGAAGAAGAAGAAGAAAACTTGGAAATGAATATTCTAAGTGCTTGAAAAGCAGGGGATCTGTCTCCAAAACAAAGTGCTGATCTAAAATGTGGATTTAGAAAAGGTAGAACAGGACAATCGATTGTACCACTTTAAGTTAGAACAACGAGGGGTAGGGACATGGAGGATACATTTTCTCAATGATGGGACAAATTCTATTCTGGAATATCATATCTGTTAACTCTCAAAATTCTTTTGAGAAAGTAATAGAGATGAATAGAAGAAATCATTTTCAATTTACAGCTCTGCTGGAACCTTTTCAAGATACAGGAGAGATAGAGCATTATAAAAGAAGACTTGGCTTTGATAGAGCCGCAGTGAACTCAACTGCTAAGATATGGGTACTTTGGAAAGATCATTGGAATGGGCAGGTGATTGTAGATAATTATTAACAAATGACAGTGAAATTGTGCTATCACAGCAAGTTCTTTAGTATTACTTATGTGTATGCATGATGTAATGCTATGGAATGTTGGAGTTGTGGGAGGACATAGAGAGTGTGGGAGTATCTAGCACAGAACCGTGGTTGGTGGGAGGGGATTTTAACGTTATTTTAAATGTAGAAGAAAAATTGGGAGGGCTCCCTTTCACATTTAATGAGGCCTCAGACTTTGCACATTGCATTAACAATTGTGCACTTACTGAATTGCAATCAATAGGGAGTCAATACACATGGTGGAATGGAAGAATAGAGGAGCATTGTATATTTAAGAAGCTTGATAGGATTTTGGTAAATCAAGAATTTTTGGAATTAATGCCTAGCAGCAAGGTTTAACATCTGATAAGGAAAAGATCTGACCATGCTCCGTTATTAGTCCAATGTAATTCTATGGATAAGAATGTCATCAAGCCATTCAAATTTCTTAGTTTTTGGACTAATCAACTTGAATATCTAAAATTTGTAACTGAGGCCTGGTAGATCGATTTTGTGGGAGATCCTTTTTCAGAATACCATGATAAGATGAAGAGAGTGAAGAAGTCACTTACTGAATGGAGTAATAAAACGAATGGGAACATTTTTGAAAAAAATGGCAAAGTTAGAAGACTTGGTCAAGGTTAAAGAAATACAATTGAAGATAAGTCCTACAGAAGGAAATCGATGTGAGCTAAATAAGACAGAAGCTGAACTTGGAAAGTATTTAAACATCGAGGAAGAATATTGGAGACAAAAGGCGAGAATTAAATGGTTTAAGGATGGAGATAGAAATACAAAGTTTTTTCATGCTTTTGTCAAGCGGAGAAGGAAAAAGTTGCATATTGGAGAAATACAAACAGCTCAGGGGGAAGTGGTTACTACAGAGGAACAAACTGGTGCAGCAACAAAGGAATTTTATGAGAGTCTGTTCAAAGAAACAGATGTGATGATGCATCCTGAGATGCTAGACAATATCCCATGTCTAATTATACAAGAGCATAATGATGAGATCAGTAGAGTTCCAACCAGTGAAGAGGTGAAAATAGTAGTCAACGAACTAAATGGCGATCGCACTAGTGGACAGGATGGTTTCTCTGGTACTTTTTTAGAAGAGTTGGGAGATTATAGGAGATGATATAACTAAGATGGTTCGAGCCTTTTTTGTGGACAAAGACTGCCAAGATTCATTACTCATACGAATCTAGTCCTAATCCCTAAGAATGAGAATGTTAAAGCTTTTGCAGATTTAAGGACAATTAGTCTTAGTACTTTTGCCAATAAAATCATATCGAGAATGCTTCATGAAATATTGGTGAAGGTCCTTCCGAGGCTGATTTCCGCAAACCAAACGGGATTCATAAAAGGAAAAAGTATTACGGAGATTGTGTTGCTTATATAAGAGATTATTAGAGGTATTGGGATCCGGAATAAGTGTCAGAATGTGGTGGTAAAGCTGGATATGGCAATGGCGTATAATAGAGTCTCATGGCTATTTCTTGCAAAGATTTTGAGGAAATTTGGCTTTTCGGAGATTCTTATTGATATGGTGTGGAGACTAGTATCAAGCAATTGGTACTCAATATTAGTGAATGACCAAGCTTATGGGTTCTTTCAATCATCAAGGGGGCTTAAACAAGGTGATCCACTATCACCAACACTATTTATTATTGCAGCAGAAGTGTTGGCCAGATAGGTGAATAAATTACATGAAGACGTTGAATATAGGGGATTTGGTATGCCTAAGTGTAGTCCAAATATCAATCACTTGTCATATGCCGACAATACTATTTTGTTTTGTTCGGGAGAGAAAAAATTGATCAAGAAGATGATGGGTGTATTGGCCAAATATGAACAGATTTCTGGACAAATGATAAACAAGAGCAAGTGTTTTTTCTATCTACACGAAAAAATTTCAGCGGTGCAAGGACATAAAATCAGAAAATGGACAGGAATAAATCAGCGCCATGTACCATTCACATACTTAGGATGTCCAGCTTTCTACGGGAGGAAAAAATTAGCTTATTGTGAGGATCTATTAGGAAAGATTAGCAGAAGGATTATGTGTTAACATGGTGGTAGGCATATATTGGTAGCACATGTGCTTCAATCAATGCCAGTGTATTTGTTATGTACTTTGAATCCTACTAAAGGAGTCATCAACAAAATTTATCAATTATTTGCTAAGTTTTTCTGGGGAAAGACTGGAGCGCTGAAAGGAAAACACTGGGTAGCTTGGGATGAATTGTGTTATCCATATAATGAAGGAGGAGTTGCATTCAGGTCCCTACATGATGTTGCAGGTGCCTTATTTGCAAAGTTATGGTGGAATTTTATAGTAAACCCAAACTCATTGTGGGGTAATTTCATGTGGAATAAATACTGCAAAAAGGATCATCTAGTAGTAGCCAAAGGAAGAGGGGGTCCCATGTCTGGAAGATAATGGTGATGGTCAGGGAGGAAGTGGAACATGAAATATGATGGCAAATTAAAACTGGAAATAGCAGTTTTTGGTATGACAACTGAACACAACAAGGAGCTTTGTATTATATTGAAGAGAATGGACCAGATAGATCAGAACTTGAGGTCAGAAGCTTCATCAATAATAATGGGTGGAATAGAGAAAAAATAGAAAGTGTTGTTTCTAAAGATATGGCGAGATACATTATGAAAAATATCAAACCAATTGATACTCAGGGTTTAGATCACGCATGGTGAATGGGAAATATTAAGGAGGAATTCTCTGTCAAATCAGCTTTTAACATGATTAGGAAAAGAAGAGAAGGTGGGGATTGGTTTAATGAAATTGGATTAAAGGACTCCCTTTTAAAATCAATTTTTTCCATTGGAGGGTCTGGAAGAGGAGAATCACCACAGATGATAACTTGAAAAGAATAAGGATGGATGTTGTCTCGAGAAGTCATTGTTGTGATGATGAGCACAAATCGGAGACAATGGAGCACTTATTTCTAACATCTCCTATAGCCCAAAAGTTATGGGAGAAGTTTGATTTTTGTGCAGGTATAAAGTTGCATGGAATACAACTACAATACGTGATTACCAATTGGTGGAAAGCTAAAGGCCCACTTAAGATAAAAAGGATTTTTAAGTTTGATCGACAATCTTATTATAGGAACTTTGGAAAAGAAGGAATACAAGGAGACATGATAAGAATGTGAGCCTGTTCAAGATGGTTCAACAGTGAGAACACATAATCAATCATTATCAAGCATACTTAACCGTGGATCACAAGTCCAACACATCGGGAAGGAATTGTGAAATATTTCTACCATTACAAGCCTAAATTGTACTATCAGGCTATTTGTTGGCAAAAACCAAAGAGGATTGGGTTAAGTGTAATACAGATGGGTCATCTAAAGGAAATCCACGAGAGAGTGCATATGCATTTTGTATTAGGGATGAGGGGGGGAACTGATCTTTTCAAAGGTGCAACAAATAGGGATTACCAAAAATATAATGGCGGAGGCAGTAGCGGTAATGAAGGCACTAAGTTATTGCGGAAAGCGTCAACATAGAAAAGTGATTGTGGAAACAGATTCCTTGGGAATAAGAAATTTCTTGTTAAAGGAATGGAAAATTCCTTGGGAATTGAATGAGATTTTGGAAGATTCTATTGCTATAATTGAGAAGAAAGGAATACAAGTTAAACACGTTCAGAGAGGGTGATCAGTTAGTTGGCGCTTACAATGCTCATAATCACATAGAAAAGCAAGTATACAACAAGTTTAATCAACTACCAGTAATATGCAGAAAAATTCTAAACATGGATAAGAGACAAGTCATGAGTTTGAGGATCAAGACAAGGAAAATGAAGATCTACCAACCAGAGGAACCTCTCGAGAGCCAGACACGTCTTTACCTCATGACTAGCTGTGAGAAAAGGAGGATTAAGATATCAGAAGGCCGGAATAAAGGGAGGATAACAGGTGAAGAGTAGATCTTAATGGAGTGATGTCAAAGCACATCTTAAAGTAAAATTGGAATTGGAATCGTACCACCCACCTGAGAAACACAATTGGAGTTCAAATATGAGAAGTCACAACAAAGAAAAATACAAGAAATATACCTTTTGAATTCACGAAAAAAAGAAGATCCAGAGAATACATGGAGGTATCCTTAAGAGGTGAAGGAATAACTTAGAATTCACAAAGGAAAAGATGTGATTCTTCAAATGTTGACAAAGTTGAAAGAACATGGCCGAATCCATAAAGTACCAACTTTTTCTGATTGTCTTCAAATGATGAGGAATTAATGTTGAGGATTAGAGCTCACAATGGAGAGAACATTCGAGGAAGCGGAACATTTAACAAGAAAAGGGAAAGTAATGATAGTGTAGGGTTAGAAATAGAAGAGGATAGGGACATTTTGGGCTAGGTGGACAGAGTAGATGTATTTCTTTTTATGTGTTGTTATTTTTTTTTATTTTAGTTTGTTTTTTAGTTGTTTTTTCCAGAATTTTGTTACTTATGAAATAAAATGAGCCCTGAGCTCAAAATTGATTTTTTTTAAAAAAAAGCTCATTTCCCTTTTTACGAGTCTCAAAGAAGATAGTTATCATGTTTGGTGGATTACTACCTTTGCCTCCCTTAACAACAAAAAGAAGTACTATAAGATCTTTCATACAAAAAGGAGGTTTCCTTGTAGGGTTTCGTGATTTATTTATCAGTTCGTAAATAATATCTATTATAAGTTTGCTACCCATACGATGAGGCATACACAACTTAGATATGTTGATTGTGTTTCTTTACTCGTTTTCTGCGTTAACAACACAAGCTAAAATTATCACAAGCTTGTTTAATGATTCTATTTTTATTCTAAAATTAACTTCGTGACTACTTTGCATCATCTTGACAGAATTAAATCATTTAATCAAAAGAACTATTCCAAATGAGTAATCATATGTGACTTGGAAATAAAATGATATTAATCAATATTTATGCAATCATACCTTAAACTTATTAGATAAATAATGTTCCTTGACCAACCATTCCCAATCTCTCTAGTCTACTCCTATTGGAAATCTTTTAGAAACTGGTGCAATGACCTGGATTTCATATTCTTGTGCAGTGATCATCTCAAATTGTTCAAAAGCTTTCTCATATGTTGCAAAAAATTATCTCTTTGATCATTCATGTTATCACAGTCAAACTTTTCCTAAAGTAGAGAAAATATCATCAGAACTTTGTATGGAGAGGTGTTGTAGATAATAGAATGACAGCTTTGATTGTTTGGGATGAGGTGTGCCTCCCATAAATAAATTTTGGGGACTAAAAGTTAAGGGATGTCTGAAATAGAATGAAGCTTATTTTGGAAAACTACTATATGGAAGGTTTCAGAATAATTATATCCTCTAGGTAACATGGACACATGCAGTGTATATGAAGTAATATGGCAATATATGAGATCACATACAACCTATACATTGTTGTTATTATTGGAAAATTTCAACGTATCTAAAAAGAATGGGATGGTTGATTAGTGCCAAAAGATAAAGTTCAAGTTGACAGAGTGAAATGTACGTAATTATCCACCAGGAGTAAAAGAGTTAAAGGGATCCCGATCAGTCTTTGGGAAGCACATCTTACTTGGACAAATTATATGCAACCAAAGCATAATTAAATTTATCCTCTGGTTTGCAAACTAGAACAAGTTGCTTACGAAGACTCGAATTATGAGCCTAAACATGTAGGTGCAAACTGTTGTCTGTGTTTAACAGGGGTAGTAGAAATTCCTCAACACCGAGTGTGAATGGATTACAACATATTTTGGCTAAATAAACATAGGTACAAATGATTTGTATTCAACCAAGTTTTCAAAGTTTGCAAAGTGAAAATTTAGCCATTTATTCCCCACTTTGATTGGGAAATTCAAGATGTATCTGCTCTTGTAGATGATACAAAATAAACATAAAGTAACAATACAACACAGATACAACAAAAGGGTCGAATTTCATACATTACACTTAGGTGTAGCAAAACTAATCTTTTATCTTAAGTTATAGAATTAAAGTTACCAAAGAATTGGCAAAAAGATTATATAAAATTCCTCCTTGGTACATTTTTTTGCAAAGATTATAAAGCATCTTATGTACATAGAAGGTAGGGTCCTCGACCACTCTTTTGGTTATTGGAAAGATAGTAATTTGAATTCATATGAGTTAAATAACTTAAACTTTGTTATGACCAGAACAATAACAAATATAATGTAAACAGGCATAAGAAATTCTAGTTTTTGTTAATTAGATTAAATTTTATAACGGAAATTACGTAACTGATATATTTATTCAATAATTTAACTATTGCGACTTCTTTTGATTGTCAATCGAGGCTACCAACAGTAAACACATTAATACCTATAAACATATGCTGCATTAATGAGTAGTACATAATTTAAAAGCATGTGCACTAAAACCCACTGAAAAACTAATGATTTCATAAAGCATAAACACAAAAATGTTTAAGATCAGATTTCCACATAACAATTCATAGTCAAAACAAACTAAACTTACTTTAAAGAGAAGGAAAGTCCAAGAATATGTCAAGTTACTACCAATCGCAGCAAAGACCAGCAAAACTGAGGTGAAATTTGAAGTAAAAGAAAAATCCAACTTCTCTAATTAGAAAAAATAGACAGCTTCAACAGAGAGAGATATTTTAATTTTTGCAAACAAACCTTGATTTTAGAAATGGTACCACCATTATTGTGGTGTGCTTTGCTGATTTTTCTCCAACAAATCAACTTTTGAAGTGGAACTAAAGAGTCACTACGAATAAGGATTTGAGTTATTCACTCCCTTGGGTATCGCTATTTCTAGCGGAGAAGATGAAATACATATTCTGGAGAAACATACGCATCATTTCGATGTGCGTGAACTTCTGTGGAAAAATCAAGATTTCTTCTTTCATGTGTTCTTACAGAGTGGTGGGGGTAGTGTGAGACCAGAACTAGGGGGTAGGGGCAATGTGAGACCACAAATAGGTGGTACGGGTGGGGGTGGGGTAAGGGGAGTGTAATAAGTCTTTTGTGAAATACAAAAGGGGAAAATAAATATATGAGTAAAATTTTTATTATTAACGTGTGGCTATAAAACAAATTGCGGTTTGAATATTGTTGCCTTACTAATACTACATTAAAGTAGTCTTTAACGAAAAAAAATTGACGCTATAAATATATTTATAATGACCAGATTTATATTTTTTTGGTTAAAATTTGGATGTTAAAAATCCATTTTCTTGTATTATACATATGTATATACATGTATTTATGTATGAAAATTGCATATTAATATTTAAGTGAAAAAAAACTTATTTGGATTTGAAAACCCTGAGTTGGAATTTCAAAAAAAAAAACCTTAGCTTTTTATCTGATGGTTCATTTTATATTATTGTTTTAGGGCGAATTTTTGAAATTCCTAGATATGGGTCTATGAGAAAACCTTGTGACGGTTCTTTTAATATAAATGATGGATCAAGAAGATGAAGAGTTAAAAATAATGTTAAGAATGAGAATGCATAAGGAGTTGTGATGAAGCGAGAGGGGAGCAGACTACTTTTTTAGGAGAGTTAGAGTTTAGGATCAAAATGATCACATATTCAGACAACAAAAACTATTGAGCAACTTTTACATATAGTAAACGTAAAAATCATGTTTGCTATGAAGCTTTTGATTTGTATAATTCGCTAGATACATTAAATTTTATACAAATTGTTTGGTTTTGTATAAATTCATTTATATATTGTAATTTTTATAATAAGATCTGTATTTGTATAATTATAAGAGATCGTTTGATACAGAAAATAAATAATGCATGGATTTCCAATGCATGAATTAGTAGTGTAGGGATTAGTAATACATGATTTATTTCTATCAAGTGTTTGGTTCATTATTTCCCACCTCATCTTGTGTTTGAATTAAAACTCTATAAAAAATTTGTTACTAATTATACCCTTGAATTATTAGGTAATTGGGTCAAGATAGATAATTCAGGGACAAAATTATTTTTTTATGGTCTTCTAACTAGTTATGAGAGGAACAATTTTCTTATCACGTTTGCTATTTTTCGCTTGAATCATTTGAGGATAAATAATTGTCATCTTAATAAATTGATCACTCACAAAATGTCATTTTTCAATTTTATAAAGATAAACCATCTACTTTTAAAATTGAAAAGACGCCAACAATGGTAAAATTGAATAAACCATCTAAATTTACACATAAAAATTGCAAGGTATAGTTTTAATATTAAACTCTTCAGTTTATATATATATATATATTGCCCGCGCGTGAACTACGTCAATAATCTACTTCTGAATACTTGATAATTTAAGTGTTTTTGAGAGGGTAAAACCCTACGATAAATTGTCAAGAATATTTTACCCAAAGAAGAAACAAAATATTTTTTTAATCTTAAAATGAAAAAATTTCATTCTAAGTGAATTTTATTATCAATTCTTTATTTTACTGTAATTGTTCATCACTAAAGTCTTTTTAAAATATTTGTAACTGTTTCATTGTCTATATTTGTATATTCAAAAGGTGGTTCAAACATTTTATTTATTATCAATTGCAAGAATTTTTCTCCTATTCAAGGTCTCTACATACAAAATCTTAATATTATATGTCTTATATAGTTAGTTGTGTACTTGATAAGATAATTAAACTATAAAACACATTTCTTGAAGTTCAATGAAATAACGTATGTCGCTCAAATAATTTAGATTAAATGATGTCTTGGCAAGTCCCTTGTTCAAAATCATACGCAGTGACACTACTTTGATAGTCAAAAGACATATTTAGTTGTTTATGTATTTATAAGGAGATAATTATTTCTTTAATATTTAATTAATATACATTCATCCTACTTTGAAGGGTAATTCATTGACTTCAAACTCAAAATTTGAACCCCAAATGTTTGATTAAGGTTGAGTACAATACTTACCATCCACTACATTCCTTTATTTTTTTTGGATGTCATTAATCGACTGAATGCTTCGATAAGATAGACATTTGAATAAATAATTCTCTAAGGTAGTGTAGACCACCATAACTTTGAACACTCAAAGTCGCTTCTTGGACATCCGATGAATCTTTTAGCCACTGAAAACTCTATAAAGATCAAAGTCATGTATTTTACAAGTTAAAGAATTCTAATATACATGACACCAATAGTCTAATGATTACATCAAACTCTTGATTAACATATCTTTACTTCAACATAATGATAAAAAACATAAACATATAAAACAAAGCTTAAATAAATGTACTCAAACATACAAAATAATCATAAATTAATGACCGTAAAAAATATATGAGGATATGTAATAATAAAATGAAATATAAAGGAAAACATCGAGCCCATTGAATGCACATTATTCCCTTAAGGAAATTATGTCATTTTAGTGCCCGAGGTTTAAAGGAATAAATCCTCTCACGACAGATCGACTTCATTCACCATTGTGTTGATAGAAAAACAATGGTGTTAGTTAGTCAGGAGCAAAGTGCGCGAATATTTAATTGTGCGGAAGAAGAAATAGTTCAGAATTTTCATTGTTTTGAAATGAGAGGCGATCCCTCTATTTGTAAACAACAAAGGGTAGTGTGAATAAATGTTTATTGTGCCTTATCGGAAAGGTCACAACTCTTCGGACAAGTCACAATCTTTCATAAAGTTACAATTTTTCATTAAAGTTGCAACTCTTCATAAAATTCACAACTCTTCGTAAAAGTCGCAATTTTTCATAAAAAGTCCTAACTTTTTGTAAATGTCGCAACTTTTCATAAAATTCGCAACTTTTCATGAAAATGAAGGTTGATTTTGAAAATAAATAAGTTAAAAGAGAATCTTGACTTGTGGTGACGCTGCATAGGCGGGCTTAGGGTTCTCTTTTATATAAATATATGATATTCAATTAAGATCACAAACGTCATATACTCACATTTCAATTATTGAATTTATTTAGTAACAAACAACTCTCTTTAAGTAATTTGTAAGTTAATTTATTTAAAATAATAGTACAAATATAAATCATAAAATCAAGAAAATAAATAAAATAATTTAAAAGATTTGAGGGATATTTTTGTCTTTACATAGACTTATCTCATGGTATTATATCCTATAAATAAAATGGAAGGTATTAGTAATACGTCCTATAGTACTATGTAGGAGGTATAACTAATCCATGGATTAGTTATACATAGGCCCAAATTCCTACCAAACATAGTACTAAATAATACTTTGCCTAATACATGGAGTATTTCTTCTAATGCGGCTTACCAACGACCCTAGGTGTTTAGGACGAAAATATATGTATTTGTATATACATTTTTCTCTCGCTTAATACAAACATAAACACAAACACATTTTAGACATTTTTATACCAAATAGGTAAGTGTATACCGAAAATGACTAATTGTATACGAACCAGATAGCCAAAAAAAGGGATGTTTGTTGCAAATTACAAATAAAATAAATTATGACTATAACATTTAATTTGAATTAATAATATGTTATTTTATATAATTTCCCAAAACTATTTCAATTAACTAGTATATATGAAGGATCAAAATAATTCAAACTCTATATATTAAAGACCATTTTGATCATTTTCTCTGATATCACAAGTCTTTTACCTAAAGATTTCCACTTTACTCTAGCATCCGGACTGACTTGTCTAAGCGATTGGTAAGAGATATGTTCTTCGTGTAATTAAATTTTTATTTTTTGTTGATTTCATCGTTGGGAATTTTTAAGGTGCACATTTCAATTCCCTCCCCATTTGGCTCTTTAAGAATATGATATAAGCCCCCCCCCCCCCCTCTTTTATTGATGTCCAATTGTCATACGAAAAGCTATAATCAATTTTGATATTTTTTGGCATAAATACGAGCCCTAAGACAATGACTCCTTATGGCTATAAAATATAAGCTTCATGCTCTTGAGATCAATACAGACTCCGCAGAATTAATCACTTTGCTAGAACATGACAACCGCTCTTATGCTAATTTAACCTATCATTGATGGAGAATTTGAGAGTAGAAATGCAAACTAGGAGTGTACATAGATCAATTTGATTTGGTTTTTCATTAAAAAAATCTAAACCAATTATATTGATTCTTTCAGTTTTTTCCGTTTTTTTACAACTATACGATATTTGAAAAGGCGATCAAATATTTTTTTTACTTATGTATGTGATAAACTAAATTTCAAAAATGTTAAGTGAGTAGAAATTTTCGAAAAAATTGTAAAACTCACATGAATACAAAATAGTTTTTTTTTTGAAATATCAACGTTCATTATCTTAAATTAATAAGATTAAAGGCTAGAGGCAAACTAAATACAAAAAAATATTTACAAAGTAACTTATTAACTTCGAATTTGAAAAACTATAACAATATAATTGTAATTTTGGATCTTAATAAGAAATAAAATATTTACAATTTTTACAAGTCCAAATTTGACATAAAATATATAAAATATTGAAAATAATAAACTAATTAAAGATATGTGTATGCGCGCGCGCGTGTGTGTGTGTGTGTGTGTTTGTGTGCCTCGTGTGTGTGTGTGTGTGCACTCGCGCGCGTACTGAGGTATCTAAGTGAAATATGTGAACAATTTTAATAAATGGCTTTACCATGACCATACTTTTAACTATGCTAGATATCAGGTATCTGCGCTAGCGCAAACCCAATATGTTAGTTTTTTTCTTTTAATTTATGTAACACAAATGAAATTTGAAAAAATGAACTAAATTTATTTTTATGTGTTTTCTTAAAAAAATATTTTAAATTATTAATTTATGTATCTTTTGTGTCATTTTCGAATAATATATGTTACTACATCTATTTTATTTTATGTGATACAAGTGATTTCTTATATAATTCTCACATACTTTTAATTGTCATTTCACTCTGATTCATATTACTTTTTAGTTCTTACGTTATTTTCAAACAATATATGTAATTTTTTTTGTTTCGAAAAAAATAAGGGAGTCAACCATATTTCATTACATTTTTAAACTATTTTTTTTATAAAAGTATCTTAAATTGTTACATTGCGTTTTTAAGCTTTTTTTAATGTAATTTTCAAATATGTAACAAATTAGAAATTAAAACGAAGAATTAAAGTTTTCAAATCATTATGTTTCTATATTAAAATGTTCAAATTATTAAAACTCCACACATATGCACAAATTAATAGAAGGAAGCCAAACGATTTAAAAAAAAATATATGATCATTTTAATAATAACACATATATATCTCATTTTTAATATAGGAATCCGACCTTTTCAATTTATATGAACTTATTTTTTTTTTATTTCAAAAAGAGAATAACTTTTGAGTTTTAATTTTTTTATATAGCATATTTTAAGATCACAAAAATTAAAAAATATTTCAACACACCAAATTTAATATAGATATAGAAAGATGTTTCTAGAATTATTTATTCTTGATAGATTTTTGTTATAACAAAATTACATTTTTATTCTTAGTTGTCTTTAATACAAATATATCATCCTATTCATTCTTATTCGTAAAGTTACTTTTAACATTTTTTTCTCTAATTTCAATCTAATATATATTATTAATTTTATCAAACTTATTTATTTTCAAGTATATTAATTAGAGCCAAACTAAATATGAAATAATTATTCATAATTAATTTTATATAAAAAGTAGATATTTTTATAATCCTAATGAATAAAAATAAATATTAAAAATTAAATTAAAATAATAGTAAATAAAATAGATTTTACACAATAAGTCATGAAATAAAACAAAGTGAAGTAATAACAAAATAAGTTAATGATAATAACAAAAACTTAAGATAATTTAAAAACTATTTAAATTTTTTATCATCATTCTTAATAGATTTTTATTAATTTAAAATTTTATTTTTAACATTAATCATTATTTTTATTAATCATTATTTTTACATTTTTACTCTTCACACTTCATTTCCATTTTGATGGTAACTAAAGCGAATTTTTTTTTTTTTTTTGTAATCTTTGGTGGGTCAATAAGCCCCTTTTCCATTGTAAAAGAGGTATGTACGAAAATCACTTGAGATATAGGGCTGAGATTAATCGTGGGCAAGCCATCCTATAGATTCTTGCCCCCCACCCCCAACCTTAAATTCTCTCCCGTTGCTCCCCAGGAAAACTTCCCTGCTCTTCCTCCTTTCTCTCAATTCTTCAGATCCGAGTCGATTGTTATTTTTTTCCTGAATTTTCCGATTCAATTTATATATAAAAAAAATATATTAAATTTTGTGATGTGAAACTTGAAATTATTTGTGTTTTTGATTGTGATTGTGAGAGTAACGGTGATGGAAGAATGTAATAGAGTTGAAGATGCAGAGGAGGGTGAGATCTCAGATTCGGCTTCAGTTGAAGAAATCAGTGAGGATGCGTTCAATAGACAAGACCCACCTACTACTAGTACTACTTCCAAGATTAAGATTGCGAGTAATGAAAATCAAAATCAGAATTCGACGACTGCGACTAGGGTTTGGACGATGAGAGATGTATATAAATATCCAATTTCTAGGGATTATGCTAGAGGTTTATATAACCTGGCCTGGGCTCAGGCTGTGCAGAATAAGCCTTTAGACGAACTATTCGTGATGACTAGTGACAATTCCAACCAGTGTGCTAATGGTGAATCCAAGGTAATCATTGATGTGGATGTGGATGACGATGCTAAAGAGGAAGGAGAGTTGGAAGAAGGCGAGATCGACTTGGATTCCGCTGACCTAGTTGTAAATTTTGGAAAGGAGGCCAATTTCATTAGGGAACAACTTCAGAGCGTTACTCTAGACGAAACCCACAAGTAAACTTTGTTAAAACTCTAATTCATTCTAATTCTAGTTCTAGTCTACTAAATAACCTAACCTAATTATGCTATGCTATGCTTTGTTTCACTAGATCCTTTTCTATGGTTTGTTCCAAATTGCAAACTTCATTACTGGCATTGGGGGAACTAGCTCTTTCTCAAGACAAGAATGACATTCTTATTCAACTCTTTATGACTGCACTCCGAACCATTAATTCTGTAAGATATATATATATATATATATATATATATATATATATATATATATATATATATATATTCATTCTCTAGTCTCCTAGTACTTTCAGCCTCATCAAATAATGCTCAAATCCTTTTCTTTCCAGGTTTTCTACTCCATGAACGACCATCAGAAGCAACAAAACACAGATATTCTATCTAGGTTTTTCTTCTTCCTTTTACATTTCTCACTCCTATTGCATCTCTACACATTCTAATCTAACTCCCTTGCAGGTTGCTTTTTAATGCAAAGACACAATTACCTGCTCTTTTGTCTTCTGAGCAGTTAAAAGAGCTGGATGCTCTGATTCTCTCTATTAACCACTCACTTGTTTCCTCAAATACTCAAGACAATGACACCGTCAATGGGATCAATGTTGTGCAACTGTTAGATATGAAGGATTCTCATAAATCCTCTGAAAATGCAAATCAGGATTTTACTTCGGTAAACAAGTATGATTTAGGTGATGTATCTATCAAATCTTCAGGCCTGAAGGAGCAGAGTGTGTCATCTGAATCTGTAAAACCAGGATTAGACAATTCTAAAGCTAAAGGCTTATCCTTTCCTTTGCTAGACCTTCATAAGGACCATGATGAAGATACTCTTCCGTCGCCTACACGACAGATTGGACCACAGTTCCCTGCTACACAGACTCATGGAATGGTGAAACTCGACTTGCCTATTTTCCCGGCTTCTCTTGACAAAGGAAATTCTTTATTACATCCTTATGAAACTGATGCCCTTAAAGCTGTTTCCTCTTATCAACAAAAATTTGGTCGAAGTTCCCTTTTTGTTAGTGAAAACCTTCCAAGTCCAACTCCCTCTGAAGAGGATGATAGTGGCAAAGGGGACACTGGTGGGGAGGTCACCAGTTTTGATGTTGTACATAATGCCAGCCATCTGAATGAATCTAGCATGGGACAACCAATATTGTCTTCTGTTCCCCAGACCAATATTCTTGATGGACAAGGACTGGGAACTACTCGAACTGCAGATCCTCTGAGTTTTCTGCCAAATCCTTCTTTGCGATCTTCTACAGCAAAAAGTAGAGATCCCAGACTCAGACTAGCAACCAGCGACACAGTTGCTCAGAACACGATCTTGCCTATCCCAGATATTGATTTGAAATTGGAGGCCTCTCTAGAGATGATTGTTTCAAAAAAGCAGAAGACAGTAGACCTATCAGCTTTTGATGCTCCATTGCCGAAAAGACAAAGAAGTGAACAGACTGATTCAATCATTGTGAGCGATGTACGTCCTTCGATTGGAAATGGTGGTTGGTTAGAGGATAGAGGGACTGCTGAGTTGCCAATTACGAGTAGTAACTGTGCTACATATAATAGTGACAATGATATTAGGAAATTGGAGCAAGTAACAGCTACTATCGCTACTATACCTAGTGTCATAGTTAATGCTGCTGAGAACTTTCCAGTGACAGGCATTAGCACGTCAACAACTCTGCATTCTTTGTTAAAAGATATAGCTATAAATCCATCAATATGGATGAATATAATCAAGACAGAACAGCAGAAATCTGCTGATGCTTCTAGAACTAATACAGCACAAGCTTCAAGTTCTAAATCTATTCTTGGAGCAGTTCCATCAACAGTTGCAGTAGCTCCCAGATCTTCTGCTATTGGCCAGAGATCAGTAGGAATACTTCAGACTCCTACACACACAGCATCAGCGGCAAGTTCCATTTACAATCTTTTGATGAATGACTTCATTTACAGTGTGATCTTTACTGCTTCTATTGCACAGTTCCCCTTTTATTTCTTCCTGACATTTTCAAGGGTTAGTCATTTTCTTGTGTTTGGGGTGGAATAAGGTGCAGAGCGTTTCCTTATGTGTTCTATTGGAATTTATTTGATCTTCGTTTTCCATTGTTGTGTTTTTTGTCTAAATGAGAAAACTAAACACTCTATTTGATACTTTATGTGACTTTATTATCCTTTAGAATATCTGATGTTGTCAAGATTTGCAGGATGAAGTGGCTATAGTCCGCATGAAACCTCGTGACCCTCGGCGTGTTCTTCATAGTACTGCAGTTCTAAAGGGTGGTAGCGTTGGATTAGATCAATGTAAAACTGGTGTAGCAGGCACACACGCAACGATAAGCAATCTTTCTTTCCAAAGTCAAGAGGACCAGTTGGATAGGAAGTCAGCTGTGACTCTTTCAACTACACCACCGGACATTGCTTGCCAATTCACCAAAAATTTGAAAAATATCGCTGACATGATCTCCGTTTCACCATCCACATCACCGTCTGTTGCTTCTCAAACTCAGACACTATGCATACAAGCTTATCAGAGTAGATCGGAAGTTAAGGGAGCAGTTTCTGAGCCAAGTGAATGGGTGAATGATGCTGGCTTAGCTTCTGAAAAAGGTTCTCCTGGTTCATTGCAACCACAGATCTCTTGGGGAGATGTTGAGCATCTATTTGAGGGGTACAGCGACCAACAGCGAGCTGATATCCAGAGAGAAAGAACTAGGAGGCTTGAGGAACAGAAAAAAATGTTTTCTGTTCGGAAGCTCTGTCTCGTCTTGGACTTGGACCATACTCTTCTGAATTCAGCAAAGGCATGAATCTTTTTGAACTTGTAGAGTCTGAGCTTATTTTCTTTGTCAGATGATTTTTATGATTTTTTTCTTCTTTTTCAGTTTGTTGAAATCGACCCAGTTCATGAAGAGATATTGAGGAAGAAAGAGGAACAAGACCGTGAAAAGCCGTATAGGCACCTATTCCGCTTTCCACACATGGGAATGTGGACCAAGTTACGGCCTGGGATCTGGAATTTCTTGGAAAAGGTAACTGTTTTTCTAATATATTTATTTGTGTATACAGCTAGAGTTGAATATTGAGTCTCCAATATTTATTTTTTGGTAATATTGTGCTTCTTAGGCGAGCAATCTTTTTGAGCTGCATCTCTATACCATGGGTAACAAGCTATATGCCACGGAGATGGCCAAATTGCTAGATCCAAAAGGTGATCTGTTTGCTGGACGAGTGATCTCCAGGGGTGACGATGGAGATCCATTTGATGGGGATGAAAGGGTTCCCAAGAGTAAGGACTTGGAGGGGGTTTTGGGCATGGAGTCGGCTGTTGTTATTATAGATGATTCTGTGAGAGTCTGGCCACATAACAAGCTAAATTTGATTGTTGTAGAGAGGTAATTAGTTGCATGTTTGATATCATTCATGATTTATTTCTCATGTATATATATATATATGCATATTGGTGACATAATATTGTGCTGGTCAAATATTTATGATTAATCATTTTGTATCTTTAGGTATATTTACTTTCCTTGCAGTAGACGGCAATTTGGTCTTCCTGGTCCTTCTCTTCTTGAGATTGATCATGATGAAAGACCTGAAGATGGCACATTGGCCTCTTGTTTGGGGGTGAGCTAATGTTTGATCTTTTATAAGAATATCTATGAGATTAATATTCTTACTATTAATATTCTCTGTCATTTCATACAATTAGGTTATTCAAAGAATACATCAGAATTTTTTCACACATCGGTCCATAGATGAAGCTGATGTTAGGAACATCTTAGCGACAGAACAAAAAAAGATTCTGGCAGGTTGCCGTATTGTCTTCAGCAGAGTGTTTCCTGTTGGTGAAGCCAGTCCCCATTTGCATCCTCTGTGGCAGACTGCTGAACAGTTTGGTGCTGTCTGCACTAGTCAAATTGATGATCAGGTTACCCATGTGGTTGCAAATTCTCTTGGGACGGATAAGGTGTGTTATTTCCCCCCAAAACCATCACTCTACATTGCTCAAATCCCATACCCATTTGCACAAAAATATAGGGAAAAGAAAAAAGTTAGAAAAAAACTAGTTGCCGGTCTTGGTGAAATGAGAATGAAATGTTTTAAGTAAATGTAGGGAGTTACTTACTAGTGGAGAAGTCTACCATACGTTGCACTGCATGATTGAGTATGTAATAACTCTCTTAGGGTGTGTTTGCTATTAGAGGAAAATTCATTTTTTTGTTTTTCATGTTTGTTGGTCAAAATTTTTATAGAGCATTTTCGGTAAGAAAGCTGCATATATAACATTTCATCCCTCCCCATCCATACCATCCCCACCTATTACCTTTCATCTCCACCTCCATATTGTCTTTCTAGATTGTATATAAATGCTTTTTGGGCGAAAATGAGAAACACCAAAAGATAAGAAAGATCACTTATTTTTCAAGAGAGCATTTTCCGTGGAAAACAAACACAGCATTAGTCAGATTCTTTATCGCCCTCCTTTGTTATCATGTTGATAAAAATTTCTGATCCATCATCTGGAAAACTGTGTATGTGGGTATTTAGAGGTTTAATTACTAGCTTGTCTTAACAGGTTAATTGGGCACTTTCCACCGGACGATCTGTTGTCCATCCTGGCTGGTATGATCTCTTTAATATTGAATTGCAGTGGTATCACTAACTAGAGTTTACTTGTTTGTAATATTTCTTGATTTATTCCGCAAAAAAATAAAATTGCAGGGTGGAGGCATCAGCTTTACTTTATCGGAGGGCAAATGAGCATGATTTTGCTATTAAATCTTAAATTAACACAATCTCCGTGTCTTGGTTAAAAGAAAACTGAAAAAGGGGATGAAATGAAGAAACGGAAACAGTAGGTAAACAGGCAAGAGAGATTCGTTTTAGTAGGTTATGCCTAAGATTGATTTTGAAGGAATGCACCCAAATCCCTTGCTGGGTTTGAAAGTAATACGGGGTGAAGCTTGTTATTTATGAGAATTGAGTAGCGCGTTTTCTGTTTAAATGCATAGATAACAAAGGTGATGAAGAAAAAAGGAAAGACAGTTATGTAGTTGTCCCTTTGGAGACATGCGATAAACGTTGAACAAGACAATACTTGTTTTTATCCGGGTGGAACCGGGAGGTAGAATCCCGAATTAATGGTGGTGGCAAACAAGCGATTGTTGAATGAATACTCATCTTCAACTAACTAATAAACTAACTATGAATAACGACTTTAAATGGACTTTGATAAATCACATGTTCAAAGCTCTTAACTTCAAATCTGGATTGATAAATGGCATGTTCGAAGCTCTATGAGTTAAATATAGTTAAAAACCAATAATGATAATAATAATAATATAATTTGAAGGACGTTGAGATAGGAGTGTTTCCTCTTAATTTGATTTTTGCGACATGAATAAATAAGATATGATGCTTTTATTAAAGCATGGGTTGCTAGCAACATTTCAACATAAGAGGTGGGAGTTATGAGGCAGGTAGAAGAAATTAATTATACCAACATTCATTCATATTGTGCGTGTTTAGTATATAAAAATATTCCATAAGCTTTGAGATAACTTTCTCCTATATCAAGTGAAAGACCAGTAACTTTTGAAAATCAATCAACGCTTATTAAGTTTGGACCAGTTGATGTTGGTTTTTGGATCATGACAAAAAATTAACCCCTTCATTTCCTAAGATTGTTGTGTATAGGGAATGAATGTGAACTGAAGGTGGAAAAAATGTGCCTATTTTGTTGTGAATGGAAGAAAGAGATATTTGGCAACTATATGTGGAGTCAAGTCCTCAAGTTGTAAAATGAAAAGAATTTCAAGGTCGATTCGTTGGGATTTAGAAAATTTAAAAATCAACACAATTTTTGGGTTTGAGTAAATTTAATACTTATTCACATTGAAAAAAGGGAAACAAAGTTTAAGTTTTAATTTTCCTTATAAATAAAAAACAGAAGTTATACAGGATTAAAATCTGAAACGAGAATTCGGGTTTGGAGTAAAAATAGGCAAGTTTATAGGTATGCATATATTTCATCTAACTCTAACTAGAATATAAATGATTTTGCAATGTCAAATATCAAATTGATGCTATTTTGAGTATTAATCCTTTTGTCAAAATACGTATTTCATAATATAATAAAAATCTTCTACTTTTAGTTTTTATTACTAATTTCATTAAACTATACTAATTTCAAAATTATAAATCAATTATTTTTTTATAATATTAGTTAACAATATATGTTTGTTGATTAATATATTTTCAAATGCTTCCTCCGTCCATTTTGAATTGTCATGGTTTTCTTTTTAAAGTCAAACTATAATTACTTAGTCCAATATTATACTATCTATATTTCATCATATTGGTATGTACAAAAATTGCATTTTATAGTAAATTTCATATAGTTTTTGAATATCTAATAATGTAATTTAATTCAACTATTAAAATTAGTGAAATTGACTTTTGAAAAGCGTAATATGACAAATTAAAATGGACGGAGAGAGTATATCTTAAATATTTAAGTCAATATCATTTTAAAAATCTCTTATTTATCTAACATAATTTTTTGATTTTAGATAATTAACTTTTGTTATTCAAATTTAATATAACCCGATGATTTCAATTATCCAACCAAACATTACTATAACAAACAAATAGGTCAGTATAATTACTATGTTGTGTAATTACTAGGTTTAAATTACTACCTTAGTAATTGCATCAATTGCAATCAACTGATTGCTTTCCAAGCAAACCCTAGCAGGAAGCAAAATTTAAACCTTAACCATCTTAAAATATAAAGTACTCATTTTGTCTCATTTTATGTGATACCCCTTTTTTTTTTATCATGTCCTAAAAGAATATCATATTTTCGCGCATCCTAAAAGAATATCACATTTTCGCGCATTGTGCGGGAAATATTAAATAACGTAATTATGTTATACATTATGTTCGAATATGTATATTATACACTTGTCCATATGATTTTTTAAATGTAAATTAGTTTATCAATGAGTGAGATCTTCCGTTTATGAGTTATTATTGCATACTTGTGAGATCATTAGCAAAGTAAATTTGTCATTAATTCTTGACACATTTTGAATACAAAAATTATGAACAAAAATTAAACATGACACAAACTTAATCATAAAATTCTCAAGTTGCAAAGAGCATCAACGTAACTCTCCATGAATTACTTATATATAATTAATGGAAAAGGGCCTAAAATATCCTTTAAAGTATTGAAAAGTGTAAATTAGGTATATAGCATATTATGTAGTCATATTATCAAGTTATGACACCAGATTTTGATTTTCATTCAATAACATATAATATATCAACTTATAGCATTTCTTTAAATTAAAATATATTAAATATTTATTCAGTTAAATCAGGAAGAAAAAAAATAAAAATTATTAATAAAAATTGGATAACTACCGTGAATGTAGCACTTTTTAACTGATAACCAAATTTGCACTTTTTAAGGGAATTTTAATATATTAATTAAAGATATGCTCCTTAATTAGCGAAATCCGTTTTTAATGGTAATTTTTTTTGATTTTTTATCCTAAAAAAATTCTATTCTGTTATCTTTCTTTCCATAAACGTGTTTTATTTTTTTTTTCCAGAAATTTGACTATATTCATAAAACAATTAAAATTGAAGGTTGAAAAAGTTTAGATTTGATTTGATGGAGAAATTTGTTTCAATTTTAATTAAACATGGTGGCAAATGGAATTCATCAGGTTAGTTTTTTTTATATTTTAGTAATGTGTCGTTTTTTTTTCCTGTGTTATATTGCATATGTTAAATTGATATATTTTTTTTTGAAACATTAATTTAGTGTTTCTACTAATAAAAATTTCGTAATGTTAAATGTATTTTCATGTGTAATTAAAACGAAGAGTGATGGTAAATGTGATTACTGGTTAAAATTTAATATTTTAAAGTTTTTGATAAATTTAGCAAATTTTTTATTTTTGAAACATTAGAACATTATCTGACATTTTGTATTAACAATGTATACATTTTGTATTTTAATGTATATATATAAAGTATGAACAATATACACGAAAATCAATTGAGTATGAAATTGAATTAACTGTATATTATTTTTTATATTAAATTGGATAAATGACTATGAAATTGTATTTTAGATTGTATGTAGTAGTTAGTTGTGTAGTATGCAGTATGTATAAAAATTGTTTTAATTTTGTATTGATTTAAATTTTTGTTATTGTATATATACGTGTCTTGTATATAATTTTGTGTAATTTGTGTATTAATTTTGTAGTAAACAATGTATTAATTGTGTATTAAATTATAATAGTGTACAAACAGTGTGGTAATTGTGTATTAAATTATGTATAAAGTGTGTATTATTTTTTGTACAAACTGTATAAAATGTGTGGTAAACATTGTATGATTTGTGTATTAATTTTGTATAAAATGGTATTAAGTGTGTAATAAACAATGTATTAATTATTTAGTAAATTACAAAAGTGTATAAACAGTGTAGTAATTGAGTATTAAATTGTGTATGAAATGTGTATTATTTTTGTATGAAGTGTATGAATTGTGTGGTAAATAGTTACTTGTATATAAATTTTGTACGAAATCTGTGTTAATTGAGTATGAATAAATTTTTAATTTTATTATGGGATGCACTGAATGTAATTTTAATGTTGTGAAACAGGGAAATACGTCGACTTTGAAGTGGAGGGCATCCTATACGATACTTCTACTCTTTATACTGGTTTAGTTAATTCTATAGTAACTCAGCTAAACATAGAAGAAAACCTAAATTCTGTTGAGATAAAGTATATAGTTAGCGAAATGTGTCCACCTATAAAAATTCATGATGATGTTGGGGTAAAGGTTTATCTAGATCAGATGAGGGTGAATTTGGATTTTTTTTACAAAATATCCATTATGATGAAAGATTGTGGGCAGTATAACGAATGTCATAGAGTTATAGTTAATGATATAATAAATTCTGATGTTAGATTATCACAGAATAACATAGATCTATACTCCAACAATTCTATCCGTTTGATCGGAATGGATTTAGACGGAGTAGTCAATGATAATAGTGAAGTAGATAATGATATAATATGTGATCATTCTAATTTATTTGTAGCTGAAAATCAGATTTATAATAATAAAGAAACCCTTAAGGAGGTTATGAGGCATGTTGGACTTGTTGAGAAGTTCAGCTTTCGGGTTGCACGTTGTAATGCATCTAAGTAAGTTTAAATTTATTTATTTATTAATTTTGTTTTGTTATAATATATATATTGTAATGTATATTTTATTAAATTCTGTAACAGTTATCATCTGCATTGTATTTCTAAGAGTTGTTCTTGGATGATGAGGGCATCTAGTTTGAATAAATCTAGTTTATTCAAAGTACGGAAGTATATTGCTCAGCATACATGTTGTGTTAGAGAAAGAGTTTATGCCAGACGTCAAGGGATAACTGACGTTGTAGCTGTATTGATAATGGATAATTATATTGATCCATCTAAGGTATATACTCCAAAAGATGTAGCTGATGATATGTTGAAATTGCATGGTGTTTCGTTGACATACATACAGACATGGAGAGCTAAAGAAAAATAAGTAAAGTTGGTGCGAGGAGATCCAGCAGAATCTTATGCAAGATTACCTGGTAATTTCGAATATAATGATAAATATAAACATTTGTTTATTTTGTTGTGTATTAACAGTTTCGTGTATTATTTATCTATAAGATATGTATTTTTTATGTATAAATTGGGCTGTTATTTTCAGGTAATTTCAAAATAAATTTATACAGTAACAGTTATGTGTATTTTTTATGTATGAACTATGTATTTTTTATGTATGAATTGGACTGTTATTTTCAGGTTATTTTTACATTTTGGAGCAAACATATCCAGGATCTGTTTTGAAAATAAAAAGGAATGAAGATGATACATTTTTATATGCATTTGTTGCTTTAGAAGCATGTATTAGGGGCTGGGAATATTGTAGGCCAATTGTTGTTGTTGATGGTGCTGCATTAAAATGTTCATATGGTGGTACAATGTTAACTGCAAGCACATTGGATCCGGGAGGTAAAATATTAGCCTATATAATTTTCTAATTATATAATATAATGAAAAAGTATATGAATGATATTTTTTATTTGTGTGATATTTTTAAAAAAAATTAATGAGCAGGTCATATACTTCCGTTGGCGCATGCGATAGTAGATTCTGAAAATGATGCTTCATGGACATGGTTCTTTGAGCAATTTAGAGAAGCATATGGAGTTAGACAAAATATGTGTTTTATGTCAGACAGAAATGAAAGCATATGGAAAGGGACAACAAATGTATATCCTGAATCAGAACATTATGCATGCATATGACATTTATCAGTCAATGTTTTGAAGAATTTCAATAGAAATACTGAAGATTTGAAGATGTTGTTCTTTTCATTGGCAAAAGCTTATAAAAAACAACAGTTTGAGACAATTATGGGAAGAATAGATCAGATAGATACGCGAATACGGCCATACTTGTTTGATATTGGTTATAGCAAATGGTCAAGAGCTTACTTGAATTGTAAGCGCACATGGACGATGACTTCAAACATCGCGGAGTCATTGAATAATGTTAACAGATTAGCACGGAGGTTACCGGTGATTTCACTTCTTGAGTTTATGAGGGTGACAATTCAGAGGTGGATTCACAAGCATAATGAGGAGGCTGATAAGACTACATCTAATCTGACAAAAAAATATGATGTTTATCTACAGAAAAGTGTTACGTTGTCGTGCAATATGAGGGTATGTTTTTCACTGTTTTGTATTTTTAATTCATACTAATCTTCAGCATGTATAAATTTTTTTTTCACAGGTGATACCTTCAACTGTTGATCTGCATGCTGTAGCTGAAGGAGCAAAGAAATACATAGTAAATTTGAACACAAGGATATGTAGTTGCGGAAGATTTCAACATTATGAGATACCATGTGGTCATGCAATTGCTGTTCTCCGGTACAGGAAGTTACATGAAGCAGATTTCTGTTCTGCTTTTTATAGCCTCAAGAATTTCAAAGATGCTTATGCCATTCCTGTCGAGCCTATCCCGTGCGAGAGTACATGGGATATACCAAGTTATATTTCAGATCCTAAATTGATGCCGCCTGGTCCAAAAAGAGCAGCAGGAAGACCCAAACTTGAACGGTGGAAGGGATTCGCAGATGTGAAGTTCAAGAAGACAAAAAGCACATGCAGTAGATGCCATCAGGTTGGACACAATAAGAAGACTTGTTCAAATTATCCTGTACAAAAACAATGATGTCGTAATGTTAAATCTGTGTTATTGAGGCATTACATTGTTATAAATGTGTTTTTTTATTGAATAATATTAATATTCATACAAATGTCATACAGTATTCATACAGTTTTCATACATTATTCATGCCAGTAATATACATACAATTTGTTTGTGTTTGTATTTTGAAAAATATATTTTATAATTTGTCATAATTCATATATTTTTCATATATCATTTCTATGTACTATATATCAAATTTTAATATGACATTCATAATTCATATAATTTTCATACATGATTCATACAGTTTCATATATGTTAAAGTGAGATACATTTAGTAATAATCAGTAATAATTTATATAAAACCATGAGTAGTCAAAATTAAAATAAAAACAGAAACAAATTGTATGTATA